TGTGTACTGGATGCTGTACTGTGTACTGGATGCTGTACTGTGTACTGGATGCTGTACTGTGTACTGGATGCTGTACTGTGTACTGGATGCTGTACTGTGTACTGGATGCGGTACTGTGTACACACTGTCAGGTTTAAGTATCTGTGTGACGTTACCCAGCATGTGATGTGAGTCTTCAGTCAGGCAGAGCTGGACGCTCTCTGCTCCCTCTCTGATCTTCTGCAGGTCTTCAGTTATGGAGTTGATGAAAGCTGTCTTTTCCTCCTGACAACAAATCACTGATCAATACTTGATCAAATACTCACCAGTCCCTGATCAATCCTGCCAACATTAATAAAGTCTATTTTTTTCATTTTCAGTCGGACTGATCCGACCCCAGAACCAGAACTCGATTCAGAACCAGAACCAGGTCCAGTTTCTCACCTTGCTGACGGCAGGCAGGTCCACGGTCTGACTGATCAGGTTCTTCAGAATCTCCACCCTCCTGTCGGACCGCTCCTCCAGGATCTCTCTCTCCCTCTCCAGCCGCTCGCTGACACAGAACACGGTCAGGTGAGAGAACAGAACCGGGCCGGCGCCGTGCTGATGTGACGGGCAGGTGTCTCACCTGTAGTCCCTCTCCATCTTGTTGAAGAGCTCGGTGAACTCAGCGCTGACCTCTTTTCTGATCTGAGCCTCCAGAACCAACCGGAGCGCCGCCACTGGACCCGTCTGAAACAAACGCGGCTCGTTGGCTCGGTTCTGATCGTCAGCAGCTGACCCACAAAACTGATGAAGACTCACCGTCTCCTCCTCCTCCTCCATGGTCTGATCCTCCTGGTCTCCCCCCTCCAGCACCGTCTCCTCCTCCTCCTCCTCTTCCTCCTCTCCGTCCTCCTGCACGTCCTCCAGGCTTGTCTCCCAGGCGAGCAGCGAGCTCCTCCTGCTCCGCCCCAACACGTTCCCGCGCTGCTCCGCCTCATCCACGATAACTGACATGGATGAGTTGTTGGTGTCGTCCAGAACTGTGGGCTGTGAGCTCATCACCACCACCTGAGCAGGTAAGAGCACATGCCCCGCCCACTCAGGTCATTACAGACAGGAAAAAAATCTTTTTTTTTACAGCAGGAGTTTGTCTTATTTTAATACAACTAAAACAAACTCAGATTAGGGATGCAAACAATGAATCAACTTATGATTAATTGTCGAATATTGGTTTATTAGATTAAAATTTCTTCCATTTGATTAATTGAAAACATCCATTTAAATCTTATTTCAGTGTAGTTTTAACTTCATGCAGAAGAGGGCGCAGCTGCTCTCAGCCTGGCCTTACAATACCTGTTGAGCTGAGCAGAGATCAGCCTCGGTGCGGGCAGCATCGTAATTAAACTCGCAAATCTTGTTTAGTTTTATTGCGACACAACAATAATAATAACTGTACCAAGCTGGAAGGAAAAATACCGAAAGCTACCGGATTATCCAGCAGTTTGATGCTAAAGACAAGAGAGCAGGACGACAGAGAATGGTAAGCTAACTGTGGCTAACGTTAGCTTCTATGTAGAGAAAATAGACTAATAGTTTGTGTGGGCGTTATAAAGTTTGTGTGAGTGTAATAAAGTTTGTGTGAGTGTAATAAAGTTTGTGTGAGTGTAATAAAGTTTGTCTGTGCGTAATAAAGTTTGTGTGTGTATAAAACATGATTTGTAACCCGTAAAAAAAATTTTGTGCGTAACTTCGGGTGAATCTGGGAGCTCTCCGGCAGCATGAAAACAATCTAAAAATGATTTGTGCAACCGTAACCAGATCTGTGTGTAAATGTAGTTTTGTCTGTGCATATTTAAAGATTTGTATGCGTAGGAGCCAGTTTGTGTGTGTAATTATCAGATTTGTGGGGTTGAAGGTAAAAAATTTGTGTGAAATTTTAATGTTTGTGTAATTTATATTTGTGTTTGTGTACTTTTATTTTGTATTCGTAACTTGTTAATATTTGTGTGTACATTTAAATACACACTTACAAATACCCGAAGTTACGCACAAAATGTTTTTTACGGGTTACAAAGCATGTTTTACACACACTCAAACTTTATTACGCCCACACAAACTATATTAGTCTATTTTCTCTCCATAAGCTTCTTCTTGCTGAGTTTAATTTGTAAGGTAGAAAAAATAAAAATAAAAAATAAACAAAACAACTATAGTAGCTACAAATAATTAACTTGAAGTTAATCTCATCTGTGTGATGTTACCCAGCCAGTGAACCAATCTAATGAACAGTAACTGATGTCAATTTATAGCAGCCCAGCTAAGATAGAACCAGAGGGAATATAAACAAACAATTACCAGTACTCATTTGTATCTCACGTCTTTTAGGGATATTTTATTATGTCTATTGTTTGTTTTTGAGTTAATCTTTATCTTAAAATATTACCCTGTGTTTAAATAATTCCTGTTTTGTTGTGTTTTATAAACATGGCCAAGTATGATAATATGAGAGAAATCCATATTTCTGTTCATTCAGTCAGTGTTTAACACAGCTGGCACAATAAAATGTTAAAATAATACTTTTTTTTTAACGTAGTGTGTAAAAAATCAGTCCTTCGTATCATAGAAAGACCCTTGATTCAAGAGAAATGTCTGTTTTTTAAGAAAATGACCGCAAATCAATAAATCGTTAGTCGATCAAAAAGATCAATTAACTTTAGATGAATTCATTAATCGATAAGTTGCATCACTAATTCAGATAAAACTGCTGATCATGCTCTATGATGATGATGATGATGATGATGATGATGATGATGATGATGATGATGATGATGATGATGATGATGATGATGATGTGGGCGTACCTTCTGAGCCAGGGCGGAGAACTTCAGGACGTTGAGCGTCTCATCGAAGCTGCTGGAGTTCTGGTTGACGTTGACCACCATGGACACGCGGCCGGCACCACAGAAGAAGAACTGCAGGAAGTGGGTGAGTTTGGACTCCCTGAAGGGGACGTGGTGCTGGAACCTGCGGAGAGACGTCAGTGTTTAATCCAGCGGAGCGTCGTTCGACGCCAACGTCGCTGCGGTGGGCGGGGCCTACTTGGCATTCTGGTTGAGCCTCATGGCGTTGATGCACTTCCCCAGCGTGAGCAGGGAGCTGTTGATGTTTCCCGCCTCCTTCAGCCTGACTCCCGTGTTGCGAGTCCGAGAGCAGCGCTCGGAGCCGGCCAGGTCGCACAGAACCAGTCTGAACACAACACGAAACGAGTCAGAACCAGGCGCTAAACGACGGAGGCGGAGCTACGACGCTTTGAACTCACTCGCTGATGCCGAGGACTCTGGGAACCCCGACGTCGGCGATGCGGAGGACCCTGACGGAGAAGATGCTGTGGCTGCAGAAACAAAAAAAACTTCCTGTTAGACGCGGACCGGACCCCCTCAGAACTCTGTCAGAACCGGACCCTGACCTCCTGCTGGACATCTGGTTGAGTTTGGTGGAGAAGCAGCTCTGGTTCTTCCTCCCGATCTTCATGATCCTGTAGGCCTCCTCGGAGCTGTTCACCTGGACCCAGCGCAGGTCTGAGACACACAAACAGGTCCAACAACTCAGACCTTCAGAACCTCCCTAAACCAGAACCGCCCGAGAACTGGTCCAAGTCCTGATCTAAAACCTGCAAACAGACCACCAACAGGCTGCAGGATCAGAGGTCAAAGGTCAGGCGACCTCATATTACCTTTGATGAAGGAGTTTCCTTTGATGTCCTGAGACAGACGCAGGACCGTCCTCTTGTGTTGTCCACTGGGGACCTGAAGAGAAAACATCCAACCTTTAGAACCGACTGATGTGTTTCAGCTGAGACGTGTTGGAGGTGTGTGTGTGTGTGTGTGTGTGTGTGTGTGTCACCTGTTCCAGCAGGTCGTGGATGCTCTCGTTGTAGATCTCGCAGAACGAGACCCAAACAGAGAAGCAGACGTTAGAGGAAACGTCCAGACAGAAGCTGTCGGCCTCAGAGACACCGTTCAGGCTGCTGTCGCTGCTGAGGGACGAACCTAGACACGAAAACACACGCGAGGTCAGCTCTGTGGGTGGAGCCTAACGGCCTCAGAAACACATCAGAGTTAACGTCGGCTTTGGTTCAAGATGTTTTTTGTGAGTCGTCTGAATTTCTACAGAACAAAAACAGGTTTTATTTATGAAACGGGATAAAAATCTGACCTTCGAAGGAAGCTGATTTTCCAGCCGCCACCGTCTTGTCGTTCTGCAGACAGGAAGCAGACGTGAAGCAGAGACACCTCGTGCACAGATGTGTGCTGTAATAACAAACTTCTCTTGTTGTTGAATTATGTTTAATCCAGTGAAATAAAGGTTTTGTGTTCCTGGACTGAAGGCACTCTGGAGTGATGCATGTAGCTCCTTAAAAGATGGCCGCCAAAAGAGTTTCTCTAGTTCTGTGGTCCTGCCTACTCCCCCGCACACAATCACAGCCCCACCGGGGGCAAAACAGATTTTTCCGTTTTCTATTTCTTTTAACTTCAGATCTGTCAGTTGAACCTGGACATGTTTGGTATCAAAGGAAAGCTAAGAATCGTGGCTAAAAGCTCATGGAAAACCTTTTTACATTCACCAAGCAGTTCAAATGTCAAGCAGTTGAATCAGAAACTAAAGAAACTGTAAAAAATGGCGTCACTGCAAATCTGTAAAGGAAAAATGTTTGACTATTTTTTTTAAAGCAAATCAAAGTAAATACCTTAATATTTTGTAAAGTGAGTTGAAAGTTTTTTTTTTACTTGATTTTGAGTAAATATGATCCAACTGAAGTCAAATATAATTACTCATTATTTTATATAATATATACTGTATATGATGACAAAATAAATTGGATAATTTTTCAAAAGAACAAACATTCAATAACAAGTCTTTTAAGGCAGGTAAGAAAAAATAAATGACTTTTGGATGTAAAAACTTAAGATTTCTTAACATTTATTAATAATGCCATCATGGTTTGTCCTCTGCAGAATGACAAAATTTAAAATCATTTCTTTACTAAAACCTCTGTAACTTTGCTCCAGTTCATTTTAGCAGCATGAATCTTTGCACAGGTAATGTCCACAAGTGTATTTATGGTTTCCAAGAGTTTTTAGCCTTATTTATTATGATTTTAAATGGGTTATATACTGTCTAATGCAAAAAATATTCAGGTGAGAGTAGAAAAAAATAATTAAAAAAATTATGTTTCATCCTCAATATCTCTAAAAACCACAGCAGCTGTTTTAATACCTACACTTCTGATAAAATCTCCCAAGTTTTAGCTTTATTTAGATACCAAGATTATTTAAGTAGAGTTTGTAAATGCTGAGATACACTCAGTTACATTTCAGGATGGTATTTTGAGAAAAAACTTCAAGAAAATGCCTTGGGACTTAAGAGGTTAAACATGAAATGATTCATTAAATGTAAATATGGCAAAAAAACAGCAACAGAAAGAAACTAGGTTAACACAAAAGCTGAAAAACATTTTTAATTGACCGACATCAGCTTGTTTAGAGGAAGAGGGCGGGGCTTAACACTTCCAACAGAACCATGGACTCACCTCTCTGAACATCCTCAGCAGGTTCTTCTTGCTGTTGGCCTCGGCTAGCTGCTGATCTGGGGTCAGCCTGGTGAAGTCTCTGCATCGTTGAGGCTTCAGGTCACTGAGGCCGTACAGACGGCCCTCTATGCTGTTGAAGATGATGGACAGAGACCTGGGCAGCAGGCCCGAGTCGTGGTCCGGACCTGAGAGACAGAACAGACAGACAGGTCAGACACACAGACGGTCGGTCAGTCAGACAGATGAAGAGGCTGTGGTGTTTACCAAGGAAGGTGAAGGTTTTCCCGGCATTAGTGACTCCGTAGGTGAACACCAGAGAGTTCCCTCCCAGCAGAACCCCTCGGACCAAACTGCGAACAGAACCCTTGAACACCTCCCTCTGACTGGCCTCCGGACCGAACACCTGAACAACGACATCATGAAGAGCAGCTGGACAGGACACGGGTAGATTCAGGTGAGCGGTGATGTCACAGTTACCTGCGTGAACGTGAACCTCTGTGCTGTTTGTGGGAGGGGCTTCTCTCCCTGTCGGTTTGATTGACAGATCCTGGGAGGTTTAAGGACCACGGTGTCGGAGCCTTCGATGGTCACACAGTCCTGCAGAGGAAAAATACAGCTGCTGGGTTGTGTTGGGCAAAGGACACGTGAGAGGACGGTCAGTGTTGACCACATGAGGGTGAATCTGTCCTGCTGCTTAGGCTTTAATCAGAAATCTGTTACCTGTGACTCTCCACTGTCGCTTTCACCAGCAGTAAACGGCCGTACTCTCAGGTACACCTGCAGGTTCTCAGTCTGTGACCGATCATTGTCCTGCAGACAGAGAGATAACCATCATCATCAGTCAGCATCCTCTTCCTCCACATCTCAGACACACACACACACACACACACACACACACACACACACACACACACACACAGAGAGAGAGAGAGAGAGAGAGACACCCACCAGAGCAAATTCATCCAGCAGGTTTTTCTTGATGTCTTCCACCTCTATCGGTAACCCTCTGTCTGGGTCCCCGGCTAAACAGGACTCCATCATCTCTGCAACACAAACCAGAATCAGTATCAAACAGCATAGTAGCCCGATTACACCAGTATGAGCTAATGATGTGTTAGATTATCTTTAGGATCCTGCTCGTTTATCAGCGAGGAGGCAAACAGCTGCCAAACTTTAAATGCGACGTAAATTTAACGGAGTTCCGTTTGGGTTTTAAATGAACCGTAACCAAAAGTTCATTACAATCTGTACCGGATGGTTAATAATAACATAAATGTTTTAACCCGTCATGGACGTCATAAACTATAAATAAACAACAATAAACATTCTTAAGCAAAATCTGATTAGTCGTTCTTTGTTGTTAGCAAAAGCCACGGGTGCTACTAGCATCCTTTTCCACACACTTGTTTGTTTGAAGTCATTACATTAAAAAAAACCTCCAGATCAAATTACATCTTCAGAATTTAGCGGGATACATCAAGCCCAAACTTACTTTCATATCTTTTGTCCACCGGACAATGAATTTAAAGCACAAACCATCGGCTGTTTACACTACAGCTAGCTTAGCTTCTCTCACTCCGCGGTCCAGTTCAAACTTTGACCAAACGACCAATCACAACTCACAAAAAACGTGACGTCTCATGCCCCGTTGGTACCGCGTGATTTGTAGATTCACGCGAGACTGCGTGCGCAACTGATTGTAAAGGTTATTTATTAAATGATATAATTAATTATTTATCTTGTCACTCGAAATGCTCCATAGCACAGAACTGACCTAGAAAAAATAAATGTAAATGTTAGACAAATATCAAATAAATGTAATTTACTTGTATTCATTTTATGAATTTGTGGTTCTTATTTTTTCTTATTTATTACATATTTGGGTCATTATCAAAAAATATATTATCATTTTCAACATAAAGTAATACAGGTAGTAAAAATTGGACTTTGCGTTTAAATGTGTTAGAAAAATAATTAATTTGGCATTTGAGTCTTTTAAATTGTATGTAGCTATTTATTTTTATTTTTCCCGTTGTTTAACCAGGCAAATGCCATTGAAATCACATATTTCCTTTTTAAGAGAGGCCTGGGACTGAAGGCAGCTATTAAATATGCATGTTTTTGGGTTTTCAGTTAAACGATAAATGTTAATATGTACATTTTTCCATGAGGTAATGTTAGAACACGTTAATAAAGTGTTTATAAAGTTGAAGTAGTTGCTCTTTTTATTATAAGTTTGAGTCATTGTTTTGTTTTCTCAGTTATTTTACATGTCACTCAGTTTCTTCATTATTTTAAGTTTCTTTCTTAGAAAAATAAACAGGTTTATTTCTAACATAAGTTTTTGTTTGTTTTAATGAAAACAACAAAACATGATTTCAGGTTCATCCAACAACAATTTAAAAGCTTTATGTTAAAGCTAAAGAGCCGAGTTCAAAGACGTAAACACCGTCGGCTGGTGATGACGTAATCAACCCGCGACGTAGGCTGGAGAAGGAGCTGCGGGAAGCGGATTTATGGATTAGAGGCTGAAATCCCGCAGAGACCCGGTGCTTCAACTCTGGAACTGGGTTCTTCTGAGTCCGAAAAACTGGTTCTGACCGAATCAGAACCACAAAGTTCTGAGAGGACCAGGAGAAAAGAAAGAACCGCAGCTGCGAAGGGACGCAGAACCCGGTCTCCTTGACAACAGCGGTGAGGCTGGAGGAGGGATGCGGGGTGTTCACGACGTCAGTGATCGTTAAGGTTTAAAGATTTATTGTGTGACGTGCATCTGCACGTGCAGAGGCCAGAAACTGTTCATTTAGCAGGTTTTAGACTAGATGAACCAGAACAGCTGAGCTGGTCTTGACTTGGACTGAACCAGGTCCTGAGGTGGGTAAAGTACTCGAGTAGCAGTACTTCAACATGTTTTTATTCATGTAAAAGTAAAAGTAGCCATCCAAGAAGTGACTCAAGTAAGAGTAAAAAAGTATTAGATAAAAAGGCTGATCAAGATATCAATCATTTAATATTTACAAATCATATCAGACAGACCAACATATAAAGCTATGCAGAAATTTTGGTATTTTAAAGATCCAAATTAAAATAATTCCTATAACTAACATGATAACAAATGCAGGCAAAATAAACATAAATATGAAGTTCTGTTC